ATATTTGCTAACTATGATATAAGCAATATGATGTAACTTTATTATTACATCGTCATCATATTGTGAATTGTTACATAATCATACCACAATAACAAATTTTGGTCTATTACATATAAGGCAAATGTTTATACGTAGTACAATTTCCGTATATACAGTATATTTTTAATACAAACTTAGTAGAATCAATATAATTCACTTTTTACTAAACGTAATAGTATATTATAACAGTTTTATTACCGTTAATAACAAAAGAATGAAAAATAAGTATAATAATAAGACAAAAAAGGAATAATATAATAACAACAACTTATTTAATTAAGATAAAAAGGTAATCTTCTATTTCTAGGTGGCTGCCAAGTGAGTTGTTGTGTTCTAGCATTAAGAACTTCCTTGCAAGCAGTTATTTCTTCTGTGATAGGTTTGACTAATTTTGTAAACGCATCATAAAATCCATCATTTTGTACATTTTCCTCAGCTAAATCCATCCCATCAATTAGCAATTGTTTAATGTTTGCTAACATTGCCCTTCTTTCTTCAATAACAGTCTGTTGATCTAAGATAACTGTCATCGTTTCCAATCTATCTAATATTTCTGATGATTCATCCATAATTTGATCATTATGTTCCTGTGGATTATTTCGTTCTAAACGAATCCGCGAACTATATTGCTGACCGAAAGCGATAAATGGATAATCATGGCGCCTCAGTGTGTTCAAAAATTGGAGTGTAAATTCAGTATCGGAGCTGGCTTTTTTTGTTACCAAATGCTTACACAACATGTATGGATTGTTTAAATATGCTCCGCATGAACAAAACCACAAATCTGTGTCAGTTTGATGTAGATTTTTGTCACTAATATTCCTTTGCTGTGCTTCATTCCATTCCCGTTTGAATGAGTGCCACCATGATGGAAAATCACGGTTATTGCAATATTTTCGCCATGTACTTATTTAATCAACAACTAACCGCCTAATAATAATCTCTGTTAATTGATCGAGTCGTGGCCAGTTATAATTGTATTTGTAGTCATGTTTCAACACTCACCAATGTGCCTCAACTATCATTGTCGTCCGAGTGAGTGGTAGTGCGGGTGCATATGATGCTCGAGCAAAATGATCCCAATGTTTTCTTTGATACCAATTGCACCACAGATATCCCCATAAATGTGTTAAATCTTTTGATCGACAAAATTCATAAGCTTCAAATACACTTTCATGATATATTTGATCTGTTGTCTTGAAAACATCTTTGCGTATAGGAATTAGCGGATGTAAAAGTGCATGTTTTTTTATCATAATAAGTAAGTCTTTTCTGTATCTTGCCATGCTAATATTATTAGTGTTGCTGGGAGTCAGAATCCATCGAGGATTAATGAAGTTAAATTGTCTATTTGCTGACTGTGCAGTGTCGACTGTGTATTGACTGTTTTTCTCTCATTTCTCTTCTAATTTTTGTATTACAGCACGTTCCACATGCCAAAGGCAAATTTGTATATTAGCCCTTTTATTCCATGCTGCCTCTATTGCGTTAATTTGCCCAACATCTTTATCAACTAGAACAAAAGTCAGAAAAATGTTTTCTTGTCATAAAGCTAAAAAAAAAGCGTGAAGAACTTCCTCCCGCTTTTGAATCTGATTATCATTATTACTATCTGAAATATCTTCTGAAGGAACAAAGGTGTCCAAGTATAGGTATGCAAGTGGTACACCATAGCCACCATTATTAATTACTGCAGCAAAAAGCTCGAATCGTTCTTGGTTTGTTTTAAAGGTTGAATCGATGACAAGTTCAGTAATATTATTACTCCTGATAAGTTGTAAAAAGGGTGTAACAAATCCAAGAGCCCTTACAAAATCATTGTCAAGGTAATAAATTACCTTATAATCTTCATTGCCTTGTCCATGTTCAATAAAATTCTTCGAGGACACGAGCTGATTTTTGCTGTCCATAACAAATTGTTTTTTTGACAGTTTCGCTACCCAATAGTATACTTGCTGGTAAGTATGTATCTGTGGATTAATTAATCCAAGCCTGGATAGTCTCTGGTAATATTCAACCTTTCACGGTATGCCGTAATTAAGATTTGCTGTTATCCAATCTATAGCTTTTGGTTCAACATTGTCTTTTTTATGAGTTGGCTTTGGATGACCCAACTGATGTTTGATTGATACTGTCGTTCTCTTCCTTTGATAATTAATTTTCATTGTAATATTACCCTTACATGAATAGCATTGTATTGCTGGCTTTACTTCCCGCTCACGCTTGGTTGATTCGTTATTATTGGGTTTTGAATATTCACGTTCATCTCTCTGTGTGCAACCAAAATAGATAGTAATGGCTCCTGTCAGTTCACCAAGTTTTCTATTGACATGCATATTTCAAATTTCCCAATAATATTCTGATCCTTTTTCTACTTGTTCTTGAAGATGCTTGGCAATTTCTTGTGCTACAACTGACCCTGAGTCTTGATTGACAGTAACATCTACCAAACTTGTATCATATATTCCATCATCAAGTTCTACTTCCAAGCTGAAGTTTATGGGATTATGGCTATCGGAGAACTTGGCTTTTATCACAGTTTCCATGTCCACAACATTATAAACGAGGTCATCTTCTTCATGCTCAATTTCTGTATTGACCAGGGAATTAATTCTCTCTAAATCTGACACATGCGCATTTGTTTCTTCAACAGAATTTTGCTCAGTTCGTCATAGCTTTACATTTGCTGAACAGAAATTACATGTGGAAAAGGTTCACATCATCTGAGCTCTAGTTCTTACGAAATCAATGGTTTGTCTAGAAGTCTTGCATTTGGAGCAATATTTAGTTTCCTCTGTTGCAATAGTATTGTCATTATTACTTTGAGCGGACATAGTGTGTAATAAATTTCTGTTATGTGTATAGTAGGATAGTTAGATGGGATAAGTGAATAACTCATATAAAAGGAAGCAGCTGTAATTTTCTTTATTTTCAAGTTTGATTCAACAGTCGCCTTTTATAACTTAACTTGATCATACAAAAAAAAAGCACATCTTTGTATACGTTTAATATTTCGTAATCCTGCAGATATGGATGTCAAAATTGTTAATTTTTCGACAATGTCATTAATCATATGATCGATAACTCATATAATGAAATATTAAAATTGTTAAATTTTCAACAGTGGCATCAATCATGCTCCGTAATCTTGCAGATACAGATGTCAAAATTGTTAATTTTTCGACAATGCTATTAATCATATGATTGATAATTCGATGTCGAAATCAACAATGTCATCAATTATATGATCGATACTTTGAAGTCTCAGCAGATACGAGGATATCAAAATTGTTATCTTTGACAATATCATTAATCATACGATCTATTTCATATACGGAATATCGAAATTGTTAAATTTCCACAATTTCATTTAACCTAATATCTTCTGTCGTTATAGCGATTTTACAAATTGATCATCAATGTTACAGCACTTAAGTGTTACAGTTATGTTTATTTGGTAATGGCATGATAATTGTATGACCAATAACATATCGAATTTCGATATGCTGTGACTGCAATTGTTGAAAAATCAACAATTTTGACATAATATCGATAATATTGATCATATGATTAATGACATTGTTGAAAAATTAACAGTTTTGACATCCCGTATATGAAATATTGATCATATGATTAATGACATTGTTGAAAAATTAACAGTTTTGACATCCCGTATATGAAATATTGATCATATGATTAATGACATTGTTGAAAAATTAACAGTTTTGACATCCCGTATATGAAATATTGATCATATGATTAATGACATTGTTGAAAAATTAACAGTTTTGACATCCCGTATATGAAATATTGATCATAT